TCCTCCTCCTGCCGCCGTGGCGACGAGAACGCCGCCGCACTCCCCTTCAGACCCGCGCGAGGCCGCTCCCCCGCTGAGCGCTCACGATCGTCAGGGGGATCAAGTGACCGCCACGCAAGCTCCGCCGCCAATGCGGCAGCGCGCGGTGTACGACTGTCCCGCGGCTCCGCCGCCGCCGGCATGTGACCAGCCATGGCTGACGGACCGGGGTCCCTATCGGCCGGCCCCTTGTGCTGCGCCGGCGGCGCCGCGCGACATGGGGAATCCTGAGGCCGCGGCCCCGTGCCGCCGCCGCCGCCGCCGCCGCCACGTAGTCCGGGTGCGAGACGGAGCTGTTTGGTGGCGGCAGCAGCGGCATCATCATTGGGCCCAAGTACGGCGCCATCGCCTCTCCCGGCGGGGTCTCGTTGGCGCTTACGACTGTCAGCCGGATGATGACGGCAATCGTACGCGGCTGCTGCTGCTGAAGCTGAAACTGCCACTTGCACCGGTGCTCCCGGCATTGGTAGTGCTGCTGCTGCTGCTGCTGCTGGCGACGACGCTTGCCCAATCGCTTGCGCCGGAGTTGCAGTTGCATGCTGCTGCTGCAGCCGTCTCGTGCCCGCCTCGGCTCTAAACATCGCCGTCTGCAGACGCAATCGGGCGATGTTGTCGGAAACACCAGGACCCCCACCCCCACCCCCACCCCCACCTCCACCTCCACCTCCACCTCCACCTCCACCTCCACCTCCGCCTTCACAGCCACCATTATCACGACGTCCAGACCCAATCGCCTGGCGCGGTGCCGGGCCCTCACCCGCGCCTTCATCCCTACTGATCTCTTGCTGGTGCTGCTGCTGCTGGTCCGGCTGGTGCTGCTGGTGCTGCTGCTGCTGGTCCGGCTGCTGGTGCTGCTGGTCGCTTTGGGCTCCTCTTCGTGCCATCAGCAGGTTGCGCACGGACGTTATCACCTGAAGGTCAGTCAGCAGCGCCAAGAGCAGCAGAGCCTGGTACATCAGCCTGGTTCACTTTACCACCGGTTAGGCCGGTGTCAGTGCCGTACCGTGGTGAGGTCTGTGCAGGAGGTGCACAGCTAGAGAGCCGCAGGACCGCTACGAGTCATAATCGCACGGGTGCTGCTGCCAGGCTAGGTAGCCCCAGGCTAGGTAGCCCCAGGCTAGGTAGCCCCAGGTCCAGGTCCAGGTCCAGTCCCACCCATCCCGCCGGTCACCCAGGAACCCTGAAAACCCCCGGAAGCCGATTTCGTTTAGCAGCAGCAGCAGCAGCAGCCGAATACCGCTGTTGTGACGTTCGTGTCCCGGAGGAAATGCACAGGACAGCGGCGGCGGGGTGGACAGCGGTGGACGCGGAGCAGGCCTTTCTTCTGGAAATCAGCAGAGCACATTAACACGACCCGCCCTCCCCCGTCGTGACAATGGCAATGTCGTACACTGAACAGCCCAGCAGGGGGCAACCCGGGGCCGTCCCGTTAACACTGAGGAGGAGAGCCGCCACAAACACATACATACATACATACATACATACACGTAATCAACGTCATACATACATACATACACGTAATCAACGTCATACATACATACATACATACATACATACATACACAGGTGCATACAGGTGCTTGGGTAGCTACCTAAGGGGTACGTTACCTGCAAGGCCGTGTGTCCATCCTCCTGGTCCATCACCCGCGCCAGATCCAGCATGACCTCGGCGCCCTGGGCCGCCAGCCATCCTTGCCAGGTGCGGCCCTGCCCCTCGCCAACCTCACCACCACCACCACCACCACCACCACGAGCACCACTGCCTGCAGCCTCTTCCCCCCTACCGCTACCGCTACTGCCGCCGCCACCCGCTGCCCTGCTGTGATACCCTGCTGTGCCCCGGCGCCCTCCCCCCAGTGCCCCGAGGGACACCAGGTGTAAGGCCTGCGAGCCGGGGAACAGGGCATCCCGGCGGAAGCGCGGTTTCCTCCTCCAGACGAATTGCGGGCTCCCGTTCGCTGCCGGTAACACAACCTGCTCCTGCTGCTCCTGCTGCTGCTGGGTTTTCTTAGGCTGCTGCTGCTCCTGCTGCACGTGGTGCTGCTGGTGCAGGTGACGAAACTGTTGAGGTACGCGACCAGGTCTTCGCCCGACTGCCGCCAGCAAGGCTGCTGTAGCTGTAGCTGTAGATGCCCATGGCACTGCACCGCAGGTGGCCTCCCCAGCACCAGCGCCGATGTTACTACCAGCCGCACCACCACCACCACCACTACAGCCATTGCCCCCGGCTATGGGCCCCACTGCTGCTGCGGGGTGCGGTGCGAGGCGCTGCCTCCCTGGAGCCGACATCGGCGGCCCCGGCGGCCCCACTCCGCCGCCGCCTCCTGCAGCGCCGGTGGCCGGACCGGGGCTCCACAGTACTCGCCGGGGCGCATTGGCAGCGATTGCGGGACAGTTCGCACCATCACCGCCACCACTACCACCACGACCACCACTAGCGGCGGCGGCGGCGGCGGTGCTGAACAGCAGGATGCGCCGCCGCGGCTGTTGCTGCTGCTGCACGGGTTGCAACTGTCGCACCTCCTGCCGCAGCTGCGGCTGTTGCACCAGCAACGGTGGCGACGGAACTGCCTCGGCAGCCGCAGCTGCCGCCAGGCCTCCTACATCCGCACCCGCACTCGCACCCGCCTCCCCAGGGCATACCGAGCAGCTGCGAAGCCGCATTCCTCCTCCTCCTCCTCCCCCCCCTCCCGGCAACCCTTCCGCCAGGTGCGGTGACTGGTGCAGACGCTGGGGCGGCGGACTTAGACCAGAAGCACATTCACGCGGCTCACCGGGGGCCCCCAAAACCGTGGTCGCCTGCCGTGCCGCCGCGTGGGGCGCAGCCCCTAACACCTCCTCGGCCTCTTGACCCGGGTACCGTGGGGGGCCCCTCAGTGCCACGTCCACGTCCAAGTCCACGAGCTCCTCCGCGACAAGCTGGGGAGGTGGCCCCGGCGGCGGGGCCCCGGCTGTCTGACCGGGGTTGGCGTCGTTGTGGCTTCCGTCACCGCTAGCTGGCGGCGGTGCATGCTGGGGGCCAGCACGCTCCGTAGCGGCGCCCAGGTTACGTAGCTCCTGGGATCCGCTGCCGCTGACGCCACCGCCGCTGGCAGCGCCGGCGGCAACGCCACCACCCCCACCGCCACCGCTGGCCTCCCGCTCTGCGACTGCGGCTGCTGCAGACTGGCTGCTGGGCCCGCGAGTTTGAGGCGTTGGGATTGAATGGTGCGCTGCCACCGCCACCGCCACTGCCGCCTCTTCCTTTACTGGTGTCAATTTCAATTTCTTGGAGGGGGAAGGCCGCGGCGAAGCTGCCGCCGCAGCTCGCGCCTGGACCGGTACAGCTGTCGGCCCCGCGGCCGCCGCTCCTACCTGAGGCTGCTCCGCCAGCTGGGGCTCCCCCTGGCCGATTGTCCCATCCAACAAATCACCACCACCGCCACCGTCGCTGCTACCATCAGCAGCAGCAGCGCGGGCGTCCAAGACGCCAGCTCCGCGGCTTCTAATGCTGCCCAGGATGCTGCTGCTGCCGCCGCCGGCGCCATTGGTGCATCCAGTGTTAGCGCTGGTGCCAATAGCGCTGCCGCCGCCGCCGCCGCCACCGGCGGCCGGGCCCGCACCCAGGGGCGCCCCTGCCCTGGCGGGTGCTGCTGCTGCGGCTGCTGCACCTACCGCCGCCGCTGCCGCCGCCGCCGCCACAGTAGCAGCGGCACCACCAGCGCTGCTACCCGCCTGTCCATGGACGCCCTGTTGCTGTTGTTGCTGCTGCACGAGTCGTCTGAGGAGGGTGATGGCACCCTGCATTGGGTCGGATCGGATCGGATGGGGTTCGATTCCTGTGGGCCCCTGATCCCCCGCCTCCGCCTCCCTTCCCCCCAGTGAATGACTCCCGTTCATTCAGGGGCCAGGAGGATAGGGAGCTTGGGGACAGGTGTGCACACACTTCAATCACCCACAGGTTACCTACCAAAAAACCTGGCTTCGTAATTCCTAGCCTTCCTTAAAGGTAAGGTGAGGTAAGGTGAGGCGCGCCCAGTTCCCGGCAATCGTTTCCTTCGTGCGCGGGGATACCCACCTGCCGGCGGTTTCACATCACCCGAGGATGAACACACAAAATGGCCCAAACGCCCACACCAGCATGAATGCCCACACCAGCATGAATGCCCACACCAGCATGAATGCCCACACCAGCATGAATGCCCACACCAGCATCAACGCCCCTCTCTTGCTGTGTTTTGCTGCTGCAGCTGCTGCTGCACGCGGCTGTTGTGTTGTACACCCCCGTCATACCTTCGTCTGCAGGACCCAGATTCCCGCATCTCGCGTGCAGAACTTGCTCGCGACGTCCTTCACGCGACACAGCTCGTTGTACTCGGCAGATTGCATGACACGGAGCTGCTTGTCGATGTCCACAAAGCCCACCTCGCCAAAGAACCCCTGTTCCCCCTTCCGTACGACAGCCAGGATGTACTGCAGGTAAACACAGGGACAGTGGGAGGGGTTGGATTTTATCATCAGGGGTGAGACCGCGGGAGAGGGAGAAAAGGGGGGCTTGATAGAAGGGGGTGCTGTGGAGCTAAGCATGCTCTGAAGGTAGTGCAGTGGTGGGGAGGAAGGGTTTTGCTGCTGCTGTTGCGAAACAGGTTGCGGCTGGCAAGCGGGGCGATGGAGGGGGGGAGAGAGAGAGAGAGAGAGAGAGAGAGAGAGAGAGAGAGAGAGAGAGAGAGAGAGAGAGAGAGAGAGAGAGAGAGAGAGAGAGGGAGAGAGAACGGAACGAGCGGTTAGGGGGAGGTGTAGAGTCGTGATGTCAGAAGATGGCGGCCAGCAAAAGGAGGTGATACACACAAGTCGATCAGAAGCAGACCCCGCTATTCCTTCCTGGGCGGTTTCTTTTCCCCCCCCCTACGGGCCCCCCCGGTGGAGGTGCGGGTGAGTGGCCGGGGGAAACCATTGCGGCAGGCGCTGTTTCCTCCCTCATCTGCCTCCGAAAACCTCTTCCCCACAAGGGAGGGCGACCGTGCCTTGCTGCTCCTTGCTGTTCCTGGTCCAGTCCGGCTCCTAATACCGTCGCAGACGTAATGGCCCTTGATGCGGCGACTACTGCCGGTACCCCTCGGGCCCTTAAGTGGACACCTCCTCCGTCAGCTCCGCCACACACACACACATACAGACACACATACAGACATAGTTATGGCCCGCTGACACGATGACTAGGTTTCGGTTGTCCGGCCCCACCTGTTGGTTCATGTCGCTTGCGGCTTTCGCGGCGAACAACAGCACCATCCGCCGCTTGAGGTCGCGGGTCGGCGACTGCGCTACCTCCCCGTCCACGGCGTTGTACAGCAACTGCCGACCGAAGGGCGGCGGCGGCGGCGTGGACGCGGGTGGGCGCAGGGCATTGGCGGAAACGGGGGACCCATATGCGATAGAATGGGAAGGAGGTGAGTGGGAAAGAGAGCGAGAAAATGAGGCGGAAGCAGGAGCGAGGTTCAAGTTACTGCGGGGGCTGCGGGGGCTGTCGGTAACCGAGGCGTGCACGTCACGTATCGTGTCATTTCAAGATTGTGTGACCTCACGGGGAAGGTGTGGGGCAGCCGTTCACGGAAACTGGGCCGCGAGTTGGCGGAGGCGAGGAGGAGGATGACACACACCGGGACAGCAGTACGCGTGTTAAGCTAAGCTAGGACGTGCCCGGGGGGCTGGGGTAGGGGGGAGGTTAGGGAGGGAGCAAGCGCCCGGGGGCCCGACATCAGACGAACAAAGTAGGAGCTCTCGATAGCCTAATTTTGGGCATGCCTGTTATGAACTTCCAACGCTGTGTGGTCTGAACAATCGCGGCGGTGCCCGCCCTGCGCCAATTACACCCGATCCGTTGATGTGCAGGTGTGTCAATGCGTGTGGCGCTGCTGCTTGCAAAGCTAGGGGCTGCAGAGGTGATGTAAAATGCGCTGACGGCGGCTGTCTGCGGGGGGATGGGTGAGGGTGAGGGGGTATGTAGGCAGCGGTTGACATACCAGTAGGCGGTCCTTCACGCCGGCGATGCACACGCAGGCGAGGATGACCTCCTCTGCTGAAGAGCGCGACAGAAGCAGAATGGCCGTGCGCACCGCAGGAAAGTTTAGGCCGCTGTCGTGCCTTTTGCTCCTCACAGCTGCCTCCGCAACCCCGCTGATAGATGTTCCGTAGTCGCTTTTCAACATCCTGACTACGGACTTTTGGGCTGGATTCAGCTGTCCGCCGCAGTGCTTCGGGAGGAGGCGCAACTTGTATGGCGCGCCCTCCAAAGACACATCGTGGCTGAGTCCATCAAGACAGTTCCTATCCCGTGACATCTTAGTAATGGTGCATGTCTAGAAGTAAAGACCTCGGGTCAACAGATTGCCCCGTTTCAACAGAATTAGAGGTCTTTCGTTGTGCGACTCACCCTACCTAATGCACAGAACCCATCAGCCATCCTTATCCTATTCAAGATAGGTTAACCTATAAGTCGATATTTGGGTCGAGTCCATCGCAGAGTCGAAAGCCCAACGAAGTACGTCAACAAAAACTGTCCTTGAACTGTGATGCATGCAATGTCTTACGGGCTAAAATCTACTGATCTCCTTTTATTATTGATGGTGAGGTACAGTCGTCATATCATTAACAGGAGCGCTTTCCAACCGTTGTCAGCAGTGTAGTGTCCTTGCAACTCGTTCTCACACACGTCGTGCTTACGACAACCCCATCACGAGAATACGTTCCTCCAGCAGTCCAGCTGCTGGACCACTTTTTGTATGAATGCAGCGAGCTGCACTAAATTTATTGTTCGGTACATAGATATGTAGTTTGTTTGTATGCTATCAATTTGAATCTTAACAAACCATGACAGACTACTTGAAACAGTTCATCGACCGTGCGACAGACGTCCCATTGCAGCTGCGGAGACGACTTGCGCTGATCAGGGACTTAGACGAGAAGGCAGTGGCGCTACATCGTGAAGTTGATGAGCATTGCAAGCGGTTGCTAGCTGAAAAGGGCCAGCAATCCAACAAGAAACAAAGGGTCGCCAACGCCGAGGATCCTGCACCGCCCTATGATGTGGAGTTAGCTCTTAAGCGCTTGCTGGGGTTGGCGGACGAGAAGGTAAGGGCAGACGGCGGTACACCACTCTTAAGGGCCGGGGCTGTCACTGGGGCGTCACTCTTGTTAAGGTTGCCGTGACTCATCGGCTTGGGCCTCGCGCTGCTTAAGAGTCCTCATGATGGCATGTATAGGGTAGCTGTGGTGTTTCTAGCGGCTTTATCTCCCTGAATAACCAAGGCTTGCATAAAAAAAACGTGCACCTGTTCCAACGGAGGCAGGACCCCCAGAAGTCAGGGGCCGGCGACCGCACAGTAAGGCCCAACTTGCACACCATAGGCCATCAGATCCTGGTGTCAGGAATGCCTGGCTGTTCCCCCAGTTGTAAGGCTCGTCCGTGTTTGTTAGGATCCAATTACACGTGCTAGTGCCCTAAGCTAATGAAGCATGCGCTGGAACTATGCTAATGTTCTCCGCATCCTCGCAGGTCAACATCGCAAATCAGATTTACGACTTCATGGACAAGCACATCAACCAGCTGGATTCGGACTTGCAGCAGCTGGATATGGAGATTGAGTCCGACCGCCGGGAGCTTGGACTGGAGGATGAAGAGACGGCCTGTGGGAAGCTTGGGTTGGAGGTACCAAAGGTGTGTGTTGTGGAGTTCCAGCGTCATGCGTTGGGAAACATGTGAGTGCTTCGGTTGTGTTTATGGGAACGAGACCACAGTTGTTCCACGTGTGCCTAATTGCCGTGTGCTGTTGTTCAGCACCCGTATGCCGTGTAGCCGGCTGATGTCTGTATAGTGTCACTGTGGGCTGGGGCCCTTCGATTGGACCTTAGTAAATGCTTATATGCTGAAGGACTTACGTGCTTGGGCCGTGCAGCGCTAGGCAGTGTGTCGGCGCATGAACGGTGCAGGATGAGTGGTCGAGCGTTCTCACCCAAGGAGGCGCGGTCGGGCCAGTTCCCTCAATTCTTCATCCACCAATACACCCACCTGTATTGGTGCAGGCAGGAGATACCAAAAAGAAACGGGGCCGGCGCAAGGAGGAGACTGCAGGTACGCCCCTTTCGAGGGCTACAACCATGCAAGGGACACGTGGTTACCTTGCGGTCGTGCATTCGCTATGGATGCTTTTGGGTGGAAGTTTAAGCTGAACAGCACGCTCTAGGTTGCCAGGCTTGTGCACCGGCGCCGGCATCGCATTCAGCCGTTTACCACCCTGACCTCTGGGCCCTTAATGCAGCTGCGGCGGCTGCTCTTGCGCCAATCGAAATCGAGCCCGCATATTGCATCTGCAACAAGCCATCCGCGGGGCAGATGGTGGGCTGCGACAACCCCGACTGCACGATCGAATGGTTCCACTTTGAGTGCGTAGGCCTGAAAGCTGATCCCGTGGGCAAATGGTTCTGCCCCATTTGTCGCGGTGAGCGGAAGCCCGGCAAGAAACAAGGCAAGAAAGCGGCGTGAGCATCTTTGTGCAGAGCTAGTGGTGGGTGTTGCACGATCGGACGTGCTGCAAGGGCAACGGTGTGCGTTCATGGAATTACATTCCAGCTTGCGTAAAGAATTGTAGTCCAGGGGTGCAACGTCCTGTGATGTGATCTCTGAGCTGTGAAATTGGAGCCTGTAAAGTACAAATCATGTTCGGGGCCGCACCTCGTCTATTGCTGCGCCAAGATGGAAAATTTCCATGCCCGATGGGACATCATCACATCCATTGTATTAAAAATATCGAACCAAATCCTACCAGTCAGCTTTAATGCGGTTCACGCGCATGAGCACGTTGACTTCCCTGCACTTCAACTGACTCAGCACCTAACAATATACGATTCCGCGCCAGTGACTGAAAAGTTCCGTCACGCACATGCGTGCGAAGGAACCAGGATTCGGCCTCTCCATATTGGCTGTCCTCCGCGCTTTAGATCTCACCAGCCCGCGAGGGTCAGCAGCTGCACACCGAACAGAAATTAGACAGGTTTGCCAAAGCACTGCAGGTCCCAAAAGCCCCTTATCAGTGGGAACACGGGGTAAACGGTAAACTGTCACAACGCAATATCCACTATGCTCGGCAATTCGACAGCATCACACTTCCGCGCCTTGCAGCACGTGTTGACTTGGCGGCAGCAGCGGCCAGCCTCCCCCTTACAGTCATGGACAAGAAATGATGCTGTGGCACGGACTCCCCGTGCTGTACACATGGCAACCAGTCAGACGCTACCCTCCGGCTTCACCTATTAAAACGCATTCCATTGCCTTTCCTACCACATTGGTCACACTACATACCGTCCCGTATAACCCAGCCGCCTAGACACTGCTGGTCGTCTCGGCTGGATGTCGCAGATTTCCCATTTTTCGCTGCGACACGGCTCAGGAACACATATTGTCATGGACGCGAAAACTCCGCCAAATTCTCTAGACGTCACTTAGCTGTCGCTCTTGAGGCCGAGCAGCTGCTTAATGCTAAACTTGTTGTTGCGCTTCAGCGCCTTGGCGAGGGCCTTGGCGTCCTTCTCCTCAACGGGGTTACCTGGAAGGAGCTGCATGTGCTTCAGCGATTGGTTACTGGAGATGGCGGACGTTAGCGCCTGGCAGCCTGCCTTGCCGATGTTGTTAAATGCCAGGCCCAGCTTCTTAAGGCTGTGGCTGGTTCGAATGACCTGCGAAGGGGTCAGCAGTGAACGCAGACATTCCACAATGGGGATACTGTTGTAATCTTAATGGGGCACACAGATCTACTTTGGCAACACATCATGTCGGTGGGCCATGCACACGGGGAACGATGGTTAGCTGACTGACAGCGCCGCTAGCTCCATTGTGCACGTAGTCGCGCAGCAGGCCATAGGGTTCGCAACCGATGCGCGGGGATACTGAGCTACACTGGTTGTAAGGCTGGGAGTATAGCCGCACCTGAGCGAGAGCCTTCGCGCCCTGGTCACCAATTTTATTATAGGCTAACTGCAACTGAGTGAGGCTCGGATTGTCCTTGATGGCATCAGCCAAGAATGCCGCGCCGAGATCCGTAATATTATTGTCCGGCAGGTCCAGAGCGGTAACCGACTTGTTCTCGCGCAGACCCTCGCAGATGAGCCTGAGACCCGCGTCGCCTGTAAGCAAATGGGTCTACATTGTTATTGCGCATTCCATAAAAGCGACCTGCGTAAAATCGACTGACAGCGTTTGGAACACTGGTGCAGCAGATATATTGTCACGAGGAAGGACAGCGCATTTCCTTCAGTCTGTCCATGCTATATGCAAGTCGCGACTACAGTCTCAAGAACAAAGCGGTAATGGCAGCCACCTGGCTTTCATGGATGGGTATCGGCTTCCCAACTTACCGAGGTAGTTATGTGACAGTGAGAGCGCGCGCACGCGTGCGCTGCTGCGCAGAAAATTAGCCAATTTCATGCAGCCTTCCGGCGAGAGGCGCATCTGCGCGTGGAACATGCACGCCCCAGGGTTCTCGCCGTTGAGGAAGTTGACGAAGTCTGAGAGCTTCTCCGGTGTAGGGCTCTCTGCGGGCGGAGCCGCCGGCGCTCCCTCCTTGGCTACAGTCGCCTTGTCCTCCGCGGGCACCAGGAGGGGGGCTGGCGGAGCCTGCGTGGGGCGGCGAACGTAGGTGGTATAATATGACCAATTTCATGTGTCCATCGACAACACGGCAGCGACATGGGCCGCAAAAACTCAAGTTGCATCAGCATCCAGGGCTGGCGGTGCGATAACAGTGCATGCAGACCCTTGTGCGCAGGAAGTTTGCCCAAGTATTTGAAAACTGACAACCGTGTACCGTATGCACACCGTTACTATGCGACGGGTTCCTATAGTGCAATATCCCTTCTATAAGACATGTGCAACCATAAAGGCCCTAAATTTCTTCTGCACGAACTGCGTACACGCTTTAGTATATAATTGACGTGAAGCGTCTATTGCAACCTAAGTCTGGATTTCGCTTTAGGCAGAGCACTTACAATTTCAAATTCGCGCCAGGCGGTTGTGCCTTGAACACCAGGTTTTAAACCTATGTAGATCTTTCCGCCTTGACGACACAATCAGGGTGGCTAATTACTGTTTGCTAACCAATCCAACCATTAAAGCTTGTGTCTCCATAGGAAATTAATCCACGCCCCAATTCTTATGCTTCTCACCTCTTTTGTAGAATGCTTGCGGGGAGATGGCGTTGTCACTTGCGTCGCTGCAGTATCCGCTGAGCCTGCATCCAAAGCGGCATCGGGGGATGCAACCAATGGCGAGTCGCCGGCCACAGACGCGTCTGCCGGTGTTGTAACCACGGCCGCCGGCTCTTCCGCATCAGCTGGCTCCTGCGTCCTTGCCGACGCCAGTGACTCTTGCGCCACCAATGAACGCGGCGTGTCGCCTGTAGCTGGAGCTGCAGTGGACGCTAGTGACATTAAGGGTACATCCACGCTCCCGTCTGCTGTTGCTGGCTCCACTCTCGCTGCGGCCTCAGCACTTCCTGCGGCAGCCGGGGCTGCTGGGGACGACTCCGCACTGTCTGTCGCCAACATCTGCTTCGCCGGCGTAGTTCCCACGAGCGCATTTGCGCTGGGTTCCGCAGAAACCGCGGTAATAGACGATGGCGTATGTGAAGACGAATCATCTGCGATGACGCGTGGGCCCCGCAACAAAAGGAAATCACAAGGTCCGTAGTATGCAGAGCATTTCTGCTGTACCGGTTGACCGTGCTGCTGACATATGGTTCGCGTGAATTACTCATACATCCTTTAAGTTCGCATGAGTATACTAAAATTCGTTGATAACCCTTTCGCTGTCATATAACCGTTATTCTGTACATACCAGTTCCTTCGCCGTTAGAACTTGCCATACAGCGAGAGTCCACCTACTTTCCAGCCCGTGTCCTATAAGCAGCTGGCCGGCTTATCTGCTGTTCTCAAAACCTCTTTAGGGTGTACAGAGGGTAGGGAGCACCCGACAACTATGGCAGCTTTCAGGCTGAACCCCCCGCGTACCGTCCTCCATCACGATCATAAACTGCCTCTCCGCAGGCTGCTCAGGCGCCAGCGGCTTGGCAAGCTCCTTGAACTTTGAGGCCTCTGCCCACTTTATGGCGCCCGGCATGGGCATGAAGAACGGATCCTCGTCATCGTCGTCCCCATCCACGTCACCGGCACCGCCCTCAAGCGCCTCATCATCGCTCTCTATGTTTTCCGCGTGGCCCGCGTGCAATCGCTGAAGTGAATTCACCGCCAGCGATAGAATGTCCGCCAGCTGGGTGACGCCAGCTGCACGTGCTTCCACAATGCTTTCCTGTAAGAGCTTGAGCTCACGCTCTAGCACCTGAGGGGGAGTAATAACAGATGTTACGCAATGGTCATACCCCAGGCGTAGTTTCACAATAAAACCCCCGAATTTACAGTTGTGGCACATGGTCACGCTGTAACATAACAATCTGCGCCAGCAACCCTCGACCAACTGTCAATGTAGAACCTACCTCGGGTTCAAGAACGGACTTGCCGTGCACTTGCTGCAGGACATTGCGCATCGTGTTGTCCAAGTTTGTTTCGATCACATCGAAGTCGTGCTTCCGGGACTCCACCTCAGCGCACTGCGCGCATCACCCGGAGAAGGGAGGGCACGAAGCGTGACCCGGAAGGACGAAGCAGTGTGCAAACCGTCAGATAGCCAGTTCACCAGCACGACCCACCAACTTCCGCAGCTGCGTGACCAGCAGCTGCTGCTCCGACGAGAGGCCAAATTTGAGGCTCAATATTTGGCCGTGCACACGGGAGAGCTCCTCCTGCGCATCGAAAGAACACTTACCTAAACGTCACAGACTCCTTTGTAAGACAGTGAACGGCAACCAACCTTTGAGCTACGCGGAACCGGAAAAGTACCAGAGGAGAAGTTGGACAGAGCCTGCTGAACGTTTTGAAGCACCGTGCGAAGTCTCATAGTCTTGTTGCCTGCGAGACCGCATGCATTCTTAAAAGCATTTATTAAAAATGAGAGCCTGTAATGCTTAACCCTTGCATTCTCACAAAACTTGCCTGTGACAAGATACCCAGCGATGGAACTTTCAGCGGGGGTAGGCCGGAACTCAAGCTCTTTGACAGCCTGATCTGTCGCCATACTTGTGCTCTGCAGACAATCCAAATGTAACCCTGCTCACCTAGGTACCGCAACTGTAGTCCTTTCGACAAGACGGCCAGTGTGAGAACCTCAGGGCGAAACATACAGTATCGCACCTGAAAAAGCTGCTTTGCTTCTGGTGAGAACGTTTGTTCATATTTCTTAAGGGTAAGGAACAGCTCCTGCAGCTCCGTTAGGCCACTTGAAAAGACCTGAATGTTTGCCATCAGAGTCATATTCGCCTATGCTGAGAGGCCTTGTCACTGCCTCTGCAGTGACAAGGCAGAACAGCCTGCCCTGTTTTGACTATGCGCTAAAGAGGCAAATGTAGGGGCGAGTTGACTACCGTGGACGCTGGACGGTCAACGTATAGACGTTTCACTTGGCTAGACGTCATGGAAGAGCAACTTTTCAGACATCTTAATTTAAGCCTGAGTCCAAAGCAGACCTCGCAGCTCCAGGACCTCGACAGAAGAGACTCTTTTTCTTCCGTACGCGGTACGGCCTTTGTTGGAATCGATCACATTACCAATGTGCTGCAGGGGCACTGGATTGTGTCGTGCGCTTGCGTAAGGAAAGGTTTTTACATGGAGCGACTGTGCTGCACCATAGATACCTTTGAACGCCGCAGAGCCTTTTCTGGCTTCCTCGTACTTGGGAACGCTACCTGTACATGGATGATGGCGCGAACCTCGAGACAACCGGTTATTTCTATATATGTGGCGAAATCCTTTCATCAGCGATAAGTCTGACCTCAGGCCTGGTAGTGGCTTGTAATCTAGCGCTGTGTGGTGTGCACACCCGTCCAGTGTGAAATTGGCGCTGTCAATGGCGCTGAAGGGGGGCCAGCGAAGGGCGGTGCAGGATCCTTGGGGACGCACAGCCAAGCAAACATCCATCGTTGCCGTATCCAACGGGATGCACGTAACAACACTAAATGCCGCTAGCCGTACCGAACATTGAACTGCTGGACAGCGGACCCATCGAGCCCATGGGTTATCGACCCCCCGTCATGTGGCAGACGGGACCGGCGGCCCCTGCGCATCCTTCTGTGTATGGATTCCTCAATTTACATTGCGTGGATGAGCCATTGGCCGGCAGGATGGCTCAAGGACACGCATGTGAGCACATCACACGCAGCCGAGAGGCACGCCACGATGTTTGCCTCTCAAATCATCACGGCCCGCTTGCCGCAGGCTTCTGAAACGCCCCGTGCACGAACACGCGCCGCAACTCAATGCCGGTCCTCCTGTTCCTGTTGATCACCGTCACGTACTTGCACTCGACAGTATCGAACCCGGCCCCAGTCGCCCGGCAAATCAGGTCCTCTGTCGAGAAAAAATACGCCATCGTGCCTGCACCGCCCGCGAAAGAGAAAACCAGGATGGAGGAACAAGAGGGAGCCCACGCAGGGGCAGCAAAAAGCGGCAACCGGCGGTGCTGGGGGTTGCTGCAACAGGAAGCCGGTCGGCATTTCAAAGGATGAGCGCTTTCCAAGTAATCCACATCGGCTTCGCAGGCAAACAATGCAACCTCCCCGGATGTCCCCATGCTCAGGACCCCCCTGCATGGGCTGCAGCAGGGGCTCCACGACCCAACCCAACCAAACCCACGTACTTGGAGGCAACCACAGTCACCCCCACAGCTCTCCTAGCAACGATGCAGTTCTCGCGGCAAGCGCACGTACCGGCTCTTGACTTCCCTCGCCTTCCGTCCCCTATACCCATTCCCACAGGAAATGCGTGGGTTTCGGAGCCCCTATAGCATCTAGCGTAACCTCCACCTCACCATCGCCTCGTTTGTACAGGTTGGGACCGACCCACTGCTCGGCGGGAATGCGCAGCTGCACCATGTCGTACAGCCCATGGTCCCGAATCAGCAACCGTCCGCCAGGCCGCAGTGCCCGCCAAGCGTGGGTCAGCATCACGTGCTGCTGCTCAGGTGTGACAGCAGACAGCGTGAACATGATCAGCAGCGCGTCGGCGTCGATGCCTTCAAAGGCTGGCGCCGCGCCAGGGTCAGTGGCATCCGCTGGGAAGACGCAGATGCGCGATGGCGCGATGCCTTCTGCGGCCGCTGCGTCACGCAGCTGGAGCAGACAGGTGGTGGAAATGTCTGCGTTGGAGCAGAACAAATGAGCGCAAAGAACACGAGGCAACGTGTGCAAAGATGACATCATGCAGCTACAAAGGTAGCAGAAAGACAGGCATTCAAACTCTTCCCTTGAGGAAGAGGGGCTCATAAATTGCGCAATGGGACATTGACATGCATAGAACACTGACGACCAGCAGAGGCGAGGAGACCGCGGAGTAGCGCCACGCAGCAGTGAAATACTGGAGAGAGGAGGCGGTGTCCCGGAACATAAAAGCTGTGGCGTGAGCAACGGGAATGGGATGCGGCAGTGTGCTGCGTTAATTCCCACAATCCACCATACCCCTACACCTTGAAGCAACGCCCGGACTGGCATACATATATACATGGGCGCATAACGGCCCACGCACGTCTCTTCCTGTCTGCACAACTGTATGTTTGTCCGTCTGTCTGGCTGTGTTCGTAACCTTAGGTTCGAGGTTATAAACCTCCTCCACCCAGGGTGGCGCCGCAAGCACCCGCCTCCGTCCCGGCCACACCACGCCTCGGCCCCTTTCCCTTTCCAGCTGCCGCGGCATCCCAACCGCCCGGGCCTTCCTCCACGTTCGCACCCGTGCATGTCGTGCGCGCGGCCCGGTTGGCCTTGAGCACCGGCAAGATGGACGAGCCACAGCCGCAGCCGATTTCTGCCACGTGCTCGCAATCCAACAGCTCTGGGAACTCCAGCAGCAGGTACCGGCGCTCCTTGAAGAAGCGAGCCGAGGGGTGGGCGCGGTAAAATTCTTCCCATCGGGTGCCCTCATAGACGCCACCGCCGCTGCGATTGCTGCTGTGGCCAGCAGCGCCCACAGCCGCGGCGTCGCCGTTATCACCGGCGGTGGCTCTATAGCTACTGCCATCCAAGCGGCTTGTGTGGGTGCGGGCGCTGCAGGGGTTGCTGGGCGGCACGCCGGCTGCAACCCCGCGTGTGGTTGAGTCCTGGAAGCTACGGGTTGCTAGGGAGTCCGGCGGCGTCGGAGCTACGGACTCCCCTGGAGCTGCACCTGGCAATGACGGGGACGTGGGAGCATCCGGCATGCTGTCATCCGGGATCAACGCCGTCCCATGGCTCTGGATTGCGCTGGACATTGATTTTGAGCTGCAGCCGCGCTGCTGCGGCGTTGAATGCGAGCCAAGGGAGGCGCTGTGCAGCTGCCGTAGCTGCGGCGGGGACGCCGACGCAGCGGACGCGGTGGTGGCCACAGCACTGGTGGCTTCCGGACTAATGCTGGGATGGTCACGGCTGTTGTAGTTTGCTGCTGAGCTGGCGTCGAAAGGCCCCCCCAGCTGCACCTGCAGAACCCAAGGTTGACCGGCACCCTCTATGTGCGATAGACTTCCGCGCAATCGGTGCCGCAGCGCCAGCGCCTCTGCTTGCTGCGCGTCTACGATGTGCCGTACGGCGCGTGCGTGCTCGTTCCAGTCGAAGTCGCATTCGAAATATTGGCCTGCTGGCCTAGCGCCTTGGCCCACGTAGCCCTTGCACATGACAGGTCGAGATGGGGACTGAGCCGAGGGGGCGGCACTGACTGCGCTGCTACAGGCGGCACTGAATGCGGCGCATGCTGGGCCGCAGCTGGCGCCGCCACCGGCATCCGGGCAGCTGAGCAGCTGGGGAGAGGCCATGGCCTGGGCGTGTGATATGGCAACGGCGATGTGTGTGTGAGGCCTTATGGATGCGGGGGAGAAGCTGACGGTGGTGGGCAGAGGAGTCTGCGCCGCGTTTACTGCGGAAGTTGTTGCGGCGAACCGGCTGCCTACGTACTGGGTACAAGGTGCGGAGGCGCGATGGGAATTACACAAGCAACCTTTATGCCTAATGTGCATGCTGTTCAGTGCTACTGGCATGCAAGGTTCTTTCAGCGACCTCTGTCCTTTGTAGCCAATACGACGCGATTACAACACAGTTGTTACTTTCAACATAAAAAGCAAAGTTGTATTGATCGCGACCACAAGCAAGCCTTGCAAAGGTTCAAACAACCAGTAATTGCACGGCACATGGTCGTTGACAACCAATTCTGAGTTTCAGGCTTGCGAACGCCGAGGCTCACCGCAATCACACAGCGCTGTCTGCTGTTGTTTAAGTTGTTTTGATTTTACAGCTTTCGTAACTACGACGGTAGACGTGCAAACCCTATCACCATTTCGTCGCGTTTGGGCTGTTGTGAGGAGCGCAAGCATGTCATCTCTCCTACAGGGCCGACTGCATAGTCATTACCTTGCTAGCTGTAGGGTCCAGCAGGCTGGGTGCCATACGCAAGTATGGCGTAGTACCTCGATGGCCTTCCCCCTCCGAACTCCTCTGCGGCCTTTTCAACCACAAGATCGCCGGCATCTTGTGACAGTACGTTCATCAGACGAACTCGCGGCGCTTGCAGCTGAAGCTCAACGTGAAGCACTGGCGCGGGAACGAGACGCGTTGCTACGCCAGCCCGACGAAGCCTTGCGCGCCCGGTTGTTAAAGCACGGTAAAGATACCGTGCATAGCAACGAAAGTGTTTCTCGCCGTTATAATCCATACCTCCGTCCGTGTTGCCTAGCTAGTTGCAGGTAGCAGATGTTGTGTCGACAGTTGCGTCAACAATTGACTCGTTAGAAAGCAAAAGCGGTCAACTCTACTCCCTTCCCCGGTTGCTAGGTTTCACTAATGTTGAGACGTATCACCATAGTCAATTATCGAGATATCCAGAGCTCCCTTTGTCTTCCAGAGCCAACCTTCCCCCCTCCAGCAATGTTGGTTTCACCCGTCTTGCTTACCTAGCTCCCTCCCTGCCTGCTTGCCCGTCACGGCCAGGGTTTGCAGAGCAGACATTACCGGAGGGAAGGACCGCGTTGTTAGACCTTCTGGCCGAGGCCAATCTCAAGGCGAGGTCACAGGTAGGCGAATTGCAGCAGCCCGGCAGGCAGTTGCAATTACAGCACTAGCAGCACCAGCACCTTAGCAGCCGCAGCGTCCTCAGGGCAAGGAAAACCCTTCCCTCCCAGATCCGCCATGGAGGGGATCCGTCACGCGGGGATCCGCCATAACATCTCCACGGCACCAGTTGCAGTGTTCCGTCCTAGTAAAATATCCAAATCGCGCACCGTACGCGGTGGCGGGGAAGTTCCCCATCGAGGGGCTCTGCCCCTCCCTACATCCCGCCTTCCATCCCACCTTCCATCCCATTTTCCTGGAGCGTGTGGGGGCGCCTAAACCTCCCTTATCACCACCACCACCATCACTAGGAAGACCATTGCCGCCGAGCAGCACAACCCCGTGGGTGGGTGGGTGGGGACTGCGGTGCCCCACCCACCCGCACGAACACCTACCCTGCTCCCTATCCGCCCTCCCAGCCACTTCACCGCATGCACACACATCGCACCGTGTGTGTTTTGCAGGTTGTGTCGTACCCCCTCCGCAAGACCCCCCGCAGTCCCCGGGCCATTAAGAGCTTCCTCGTGGCTCCCATCGGTGGGTGGGTGGGTGGGTGTCGCGATTGGGATGGGTGTATGTGGCATGGCAGATGTCGTAAAGGTGTCAGCAGGCGCCGACGGCCGGCTCACAGCCCCCTAGGGGCCCCATAAGCCACTCACCCTGCACAGACCCAGACGGGAAGAAAGGTAGGTAGGTAGGTAGGTAGGTGTGGGGGGGTAAGGGGAATGGAAAGGAATTTTCCAGCGGCTGAGGGAGCCCGGCAGAGGGCCTGAGGCCGAGCGGTAAGGGTGGGTGGCCAGCGACGGGAAAGGAGGGGGAGGTGGAGATGGGGTACTCCTGGGCCACGACGCACCTCCTGCCATTTTCGCTGAAGCGGCATCAAGCTCCGTAGGACTGGCCATGGTCATAGACAGGGGCTTGCGTCCTGCGTTGCATGGAGGCTTCCCCCCCGGGGGGTGGGGTTGTTCCCGGGCTGAGGGGCCTAACTGTGCTTTGCAGAACTTCCTCGCCCCTAATGCCTCTCCGTCTTACCCCTTTCCATGCATGTTTCGCTGTAAGTATGTATGTATGCATGTATGTATGTATGTATATGTGTATGTATATGTGTATGTATATATATGTATGTGGTAGCTGCTCCTTCCTCCTCCTTACCCCCCTTACTTTCCTTCCCTCTTCTCTCGCTCCTTACTTGGCATAGCTCTACCCCTCTCCGTCGTGGCTGTTTCCTTCCTCGCCTCTTACCTTCGCACCTACCCACCTATCCGCTCCAGACGTGGAGGATGTTGGTTTCGTGAACTTCCTCCTGGACAGCGGCAGCAGCGGGGCGCTCATCACCGCCGAGCTCAGGGAGAGGCTGGGGCTGAGCCCGTCAGATGGCCAGGTGAGGGACGGTGGGGGGTGGCGGAAAGGGGGAGGCGGAAGGTGAAACACAGCAGCAAGCCCTCGGCAGGGTGGAAGAGGGTCGAAAGGGGGAGGGTGGGGGTGTATTTAGGAAGCAGGCGGGGCTGAACACCGAAGTAGCTGTCTAGGTAGGCATCGAACTCCAAATGACTCCAATCCAAATTACTCCTAATGAAAGACCCCACGAAAAGGGTAAGGGGTAAAGGAAGTAGAAGGCCGACCTCGCTCCACACGTCCTCACATACCTAATGGTGGAGTGGGGTGGAGTGGAGTGGAGTAGAGTGGGGTGGAGTGGGGTGGAGAGCTGGCTGTACCTCCCAGCTCTCCCCCCTTTTATGCGTTGCTTGCCACAGCTGACCTTAAAAGGATCTACACTGCAAACAGTGAAGAAATAGGCTATCTGGAGCTTTTTATAATCGCTCTCTCGCCCTCAGCCTCGGGCCGCATCCGGACAAACCCGGCACCTACAACCCACGTGGGCCCCCCGGCCTCCCGCGGCCCCGCGGTAACCCCCCCACACACACACAACCCAATCCAGGTGGTCAAGGGGGTGGACAGCAGCGGCTTGACGTTGCGTCAGAAGGTGCGGCTGCCGGCCCTGAGGCTGGGTCCACAGATGCTCAACATACGGGACGCCTACGTCACCTCGCTCAAATCCGACCACGATATCGACGTGGGTGAGTGCGTTGTGGGCGGTTGGGTGGGTTTTCGCCGGGTGTGGGTTTTGGTAATCTGAGCCGCGATACGGGAAAAGTTGAGAAGTGTGCGTGTGTATTTCATGTCTCTCGGACTTTTTGACGGTGTGGGGTAGGCCTGCTGGTTTATGGCGCATGGCGCGATGTTGAGATGTTGTCGAGCTGATGGCGCCTGATGACATCTCTTCTACCGAGCAGTTTTTTGGAATCTGTTTCATAATAATAATTCGTTTCATGATAATAATAATAATAATAATAATAATAATAATAATAATAATAATAATAATAATAATAATAATAATAATAATAATAATAATAATAATAATAATAATAATAATCTGTTTCATATAATCTGCCCCCTCCCCATCCGCATCTTTAGGGTTTCGCTAGGATGGTCCATCCATCCCTTCTCTTTCCCCTTGGTCCTCCTCGTCCGCACCACCGTTGGGAGCTCTCGAAACCCCCCCACCCCCACCCCCACCCCCGTCGTGCAGCTTCCCTCTCGCCACTTTCCGCTGCTGTGTTTTTCCTCCTGCAGTACTATTTCACCTCCCCTCCCCGAACCCGAATAAAACCCGCTACCCCGTCACAAGCTCAGGCGGCGTTCTGGGTCTCAACTTCCTTCGCATGTTCGAGTTTGAGATTTGTCAGGACCGGCAGCGAATGTCCTTCCACCCGCCGGGGCACATCGACAAGGGGGTGCTGGAGGTGGAGGGCATGGCCAAACTCAATTGCGACGTGCTCAAGGGTGCGTGGTAGTGGGTAGGGAGGGTGAGGGGAGGGGGATGTGCGTGTGGGGCTGGGGGATAAAATGAAGGGAAATTGGGGAGGCATTGTGCGCGATCTGTGTTGACTGATGGGTATATGGTCAGTTTGTTGGGGTTCCCTCATATATAAACTGGGAATCTGGGACCCTGGGTCCGGGCCGGCAAGGAGGACGTGTGACTGTGTATGGGGGCTGGTCGGGGTGCACGCGTGTGTGCTGTCTGTCTGGTCAGGGCGCCGGGTATTTGTGTGTGTGTGCATGTGCGTGTGCGTGTGTGAATGGTGCCGTAAAGACCGTGCGCACGTAGGAAACAAAGGGGGTTTACATTGTGTGGGCGCGCACTCCTTCCCTCCTCCCCTTTTTCCCGCCCCCTTACTCTTCCGAGTGCCCAACGGCACCCCGGGATCCTTTTCACCGCCCGCCCGGTTATGTTCGCACCACCGCGTTCGACTCCCCTGCGGTTATCCGAGGAGGATATGCCATGTTTCCCTCGCTTTTGTGCTCCCTCCTGTTTCCTCAACTCTCTCTCTCCCTCACTCACTCCCTTGCCGGTAGTGCCTGAGGATGACCATACATATACATATACATACAGGTACACAACATGCAGAAAGTTATCAGTGGATTCCCCCGCGACATTGCTTTGGACCCCTACGGCAGTTTGTGCGTTGGGGCTGTCAGCAGTTGGTTTGACTTTTGACTTAGGGTTTGCACCCTATACACACACACACCTCCCCCCCCTTCTCCCCCCTCCCGGCTGGTGGTGTTGCCTCCAGGGGGGCTGTTGGGGGTGCCCGTGTCCCTCAACGGCTCCGCCCGCTTCCCCGCCATATTGGACCTGGGGGCCAACTTCTCCATTCTCAACTGGCCGGCGGCCGAGCTGGCGGGGGTGAGGCGAGGAGGCGGCGAGGCGGGCGAAGGGGGCTCGGGTGGCAGCAGCAGTAGCAGCATCGAGGAGGTGAGGCGGGAGGCGGGCTGGTTGGGTGGAAAGGTGGGAGCGGGACAGGGGGGATGCGGTGGAGGACCTCAGTCAGGGGCGGCGGGGCCAGGGCGAAGCAATAATAAGCACAAATGTATTTGCGTTCCCTCTCCCGGGGAGCCCTCCCCTCCCCTCTCTCCCCTTGGTTATACCACGGCTTTACGTTGCTTCCAAAGTTGAGGCACCGGGCACAACTCACATTCACTGTTTGAGTTAGTGACGAAGTTAGCCAGAACTGACCAGCTTACCTCTTACGAGATCTACTGCTACTATTATTATTATTATCGGTGTCGAATTCCTTGTTTCCTTGTTCATACGTTTCCCCTCCCCCCCCTTTTCCTCAGCCAGCCCCGCACGTCAGCCGAACTGCACCCCCGGTTCCTTCGCCCGGCCCTCGGTGGTCCGCACACGCACCAGGATGTTCCCTTCCGGCGCCACTCACACACTCTCGGACAGCTGGCCCCGGTAGATATACCCCAATTCACTCGCACAGCTGTGTTGGTCACCTTCCTGCCTACCTACCCGCCTACCTACCTACCCGCCTACCTACCTACCTGCCTACCTATCCGCCTACCTACCTACCTGCCTACCCCTTCTCCCCCTTCCGCATGTCCGCTGCCCCCAGATCGCCAGTGTGGACGGGCAGCGGGGCAACCGCATCCGCCGCGGCTTCCTGGATGTGGTGCTGGGGGACGAAGGCGAGTGCTGGATGGGTAGTGCTGTGTGCCCGGTTGAACACCGGCCGGCGGTCTGGGGGCAGCCGGTGTTTTCACACGTTTCCTTTATCGCCGGTTCGTATGGTTTTGTAACACAGTATTGTCGCCCTAACAGGTGATTTTGAAGTCGTGGGATGACTGAACCCCCCTGCCCTTCCGCCCTTCCTGCATACCAGTCCGTGGGCCGTATCCCGCAGTTGATTTACTTGTGCTCCCTTTGCACCTCCCTGCCGCGAGTCACTCCCCCGGCCCCACCCCGTCCACCCGTGCTGCTCAACACGACACACACGTGTGCAGGCAGCCCCTACGTTCCCAGCCGCGCACTGGCACTGATGGTTCGAGACATTCCCTCCTTCTCCGCACTGGGCTTTGGGGACTCGCCCGTGATGGTGCTGGGCTATGACCTGCTGTCGGCCGACCGGCTGGTGCTGGACCTGCGGAACCAGCGCATCTTTGTCAAGTAGACTGACGTAGTAGACGGAACCGGGAGGGGGCTCCGAGCTCTCCTCCTGGCACCTCCGGTTGCTGCTTTCTCTCGTTGTAACGGGGTTCGCGGGGTTAGGGGGGTTAGGGGGGTTAGGATAGTGTACAGTCTGGGTGACGCGGGTTTAATGGTTTGGTGCGGTCGTGACAGTAGCGGTGATTTTGGTGATTGTGATGGTGGTGGTGGTGGTGGTGAGGATTATGGATGCTAGTGTCGGGCGTGGAGGAGGTGTTGTTGGTGGTGGTGTTGGTGTTATTGATGGTGGGGGATGTTTCAGAGGTGGTGGCGAAGCTGGTGAGGCGTGGGAGCACCTTCTGTAAAAGCAGGAAAAGGGGCATCGTTTGGGGGGGGGCATCGTTACTGCTACGGGAGAGATGCGCATATGCAGGGTGCACGCGGGATGATGCAAGACAGCCATGATGTAATGTATGTATGTATGTATGTATGTAGTTAAGATACTGATTCCCAGCTGCGCAAAGAAAAAATGCGACAGTATGGAGAATGGCAGTAGCAGTATGGAGAATGGCGGTATGGAGAGTGCACGTTACCGAGTGTGTACCTAACAATATTGTATGTGCTAAACAGGGGGAACTGTTGCGCGATGATTGCGGACGGATTCCAGCTGCAGGGGGCCGCGGCAGGGAAGGACACAGCGCGGCGGCAGCAGCAGCAGCAGCGGTGGCGGCGTGGTGGCTGTAGCGTGGCGGCGTATCGTAGCCAGCGGGGGGTGCGGCGCGGATGGCGTTGTTTTGGGGCCCCTCCCTACTCGAGCACTGCCTTTCACCCCACACGCTCCGGCTTCCTTCCACTCGTTGCATGGCTACCTGATAATGACTAAGGTAGCTTTCGCTGGCGGGCAACTTGCTCGGCTATGGCTGAGTCGCGCGCGCGCGTGTGTGTGTGTGTGTGTGTGTGTGTGTGTGTGTTACATGGTCATAGGTGCGTATCCCGTACCTGCAAACCGCCCAATACGATCCGAGGGCTAAAGGGCTGCCAGATCGCCTATAAGCACCATCCTACCTCGCACTTCACAGTTAAAAGCAAGTGATAGAGGAGACTAACGACCAAGGTGTGAGTCGTGTACTGTACGTGGGTGATATGACGGACAGCGGCGGGGGGGCCGGGTGCTTTTTCCAGCAGTGCTCACCAGCGTGTGTGCATGCAGGCAGGAGATGTTTGCCTGTTTGCGATCCGAGCGGCCCCGTTTCCACCCTCTCCCAACACCGGCTTTCATGTCTTAAGGCGGATCAGGCACTGTGGAGCAGGGAACCAGCTCGCGCCATGATTTCCGGCTTTTGGAGTAGTTGCCGTTGTGGGCTTAGGAGGGAGGGGTCGTACCCCAAAAGCTGAGTGAGGCTGTTAAAACGTGTGTGACCTGGGCGGGTATATCTATATCTGCAAGCAGACGGAGAAGATATGGGGCGGGGTTGATGCGTTCGGGGAGCAGGGCCTGAGAGCCTTAGAGGTCCACAGAAGCAGGGGGAGGGTGTTGATAGCTGGGGGGAGGGTCTTGGCAAAAGAGCCCAGGTTGCAGTGGAACCTGGCAGTACTCGCAAACGAACACGCCGCTTCGCCTCAGTGAACTAATTGCGACTTACCGCGTACCCAAGTCCAAAGGTCTGTCAGGACATCACCGGAGACCCACATAGCGTGGGCCGAAGAAGATTGAAGATATAAGATGTATTGCATGGCTGGTGGCCCGGGGGTTTGGCAAAAAGCAAAGTGACAAAAAGGTAGCATCACGCATTGCTCCTGGTAGGGCTACAAGCGAAGGGCGCATGTGCAGCAGCAGGAACAGAAGAGGGCGCGCACATACACATACACACATACACACAAAGCACCCTTTACCCCCCCCCCCACACACACACATGCACACCTAAACGGATCATTATTAACACACACACACAACACACGCACTGTAGTAGCTGGTACACAGTACGGCTCTACAAATATGCGCGGAGCGCGACCACCAGCATCTCGAGAGGCCTTTTCAGCGGCCAGCTACTACACGCACACACACACACGCGCGCCGGGAAGCGAGAGTGGAAAAAGAGTGTATGAAGTGTATGTATATGTTGTAAAGATTATCACCTTCTGCAGTCGCGCGTGCGCAGCAGCTGCTGCGCAATCCGTACGCTGTGTTACGTAGGACAGGGAGATCTGTGCCCGTCTGCGCGCAAGAAATTCTGGGTCGTCCCAGCAGTCAGTGCGCGTGCGTATCCCCCCGTTCTGCCGGAGGACATAGTTTCCTTCCCAGGGCAGCGTCCTGAGCTACAAAAGCTGCCGTGTGTTCCATTCCTGCGGACGGGATCCTCGCTTTTGCGTGCGTGCCGTGGGCCATTGACACACATTGGCGTGTGTTGGCGACTGCAGGCTTCTGTGTTCGATTACCCTAGGTTCCCGTCCTGGTCCCTTGCAGGTCGGGTGGTCGGGGTACTGGCTTTGCATCGCCGCTTGCATCTTTTGGCTGGGCAGGCTATGTCCGCAGCTCAACTCCTCAGTTCCCGTGCTGCTGCCTCTGACAAACTGCGGACTGGACGTCCCTTGTCTCGGACTGGACGTCTCGTTGTCAGATATCGCTTGTCCAGGCTTCAAGGTTTAGCCTAGTGTACTTTCGCGAAGAGGCATATCTCAGGTCGGTGGCCATTTTTTGCGCGGTCCGTGGCTTCGGCCTCTTCATAGAGCGTGGGGTGCGGTCACACATCGACGCTGAAGACACATCGACGCTGAAGAGGGATTCGATCATCATCAGAGCATGTTGGAGGCCATGAAATGGGAACCAGTACGTCTGGCGAGGATGTTGGAACGTATGTGGGCTCACCGAAACTCAGTGAGCCCAAAGACTAGCGTCCCAAACCCCTTTTGGACGCTAGTCTGGGCTGATGTGCGGTGTTTCCTGTTCTCCGTGGCTTTTAGGCGTTGAAGTATGGCCCTTGTAACACACACACAAAAAAAGGATCGTCGATGTGTGTGTGTGTGTGTGTGTGTGTGTTACATGGTTGGGGGTGCGTGACCCCATACCTGTAAAACTACCCATACGAGCCTAAGGCCCAAGGGCAATACTACAACGCCTAAAAGCCACGGAGAAAGGAAAAACACCGCACATCAGCCCAGACTAGCGTCCAAAGGGGGCAATTGAGTTTCGGTGAGCCCACATACGTTCCAACATCCTCGCCAGACGTGCGGGTTCCCATTGCATGGCCTCCAACATGCTATGTTGATGATCGAATCCCTCTTCAGCACGAATATCATTATAGGCTGGGCATTCCAATAACACGTGTTTTTCATCCTCAATTCGGCTATTAGTACCACAACAGTGGCAAAACTGCTGCCCCCTGGGGACATGGTACTTGCCCCTTCGTGCTCTGTTTGCCTCCAAAGCCCAGCAACATAAACGAAACTGGTGCACGTAAGTGTGACGCACCCCTTGTGGACAGCAAGCGCGTCTCCATACTGTTGTATGCAGACGATGTTAGTCTGCTAGCGACGTCAGTAGAGCGAATGTCTGAGTTGCTACATCTTGTGGACTTGTTTTGTGAAGCTTTTGGGATGCGACCAAATGTCTCAAAGTGTGAAAGGCTTGTTTTTGCATGTGACGGCACCCAGCAGTCGGAACTTAGCGGGAGATGTCAACAGTTACGGCTATCAGGCCAGGTAGTACCTGCCAAAGATAGCGCTCGCTATCTGGGCTTGGTATATGGGCCAGAACGGCCTTTTAGTGCGTGCCGTCAGCAGTTGTGTGATACAGGTCGGTCCGCTATGTTTTCCTTAAGCGCAAAGCTGGACAAAATGAAGCTGTTTGCCCCCGATGTGCGAATGCGGTGTTTTGCAACCCAAGTCCGAGCAATTCTGTTGTATGGCTGCCAGGCGTGGGGCCCTTTTGCGCTGGCAGAGGTCGTGGACAGGGCGGGAAGGCGGCGGGATAAAGCCAACCTTGCGGAGGGCATGTTCGAAGCCTGTTTGAAGGATAGTGCAGTCCAGCTGCAGATTTTATTCATGAAGCAGGTAGTGGGGACGGCACGGCCATCCCACAGGCTGTTGTACGCGGAGCTGGCTGAACTCCCCTTACAATATTACATGGTGAAGCAGATTCTCCGTTTCTGGAACCGCCTTCAAAAGCAAGTGGGATCCATTGCTCATGCAGTTTTACGGCAGGAGATAACCGATGCCCTGACCAACCCGGAATGGGAGGGTTGGGGAATCTCAATGTTACGACTGTTTTCCTTCTTGGAGTGCAACATTTGGAGCGGAATACCGCAAGAAGTAGTGGGGGTAAAGGAGCGTGTTGACTGGTTGTTGAGTAGACCTCTACCAGAAGGAGCGATAATAACGGCACTAAGAGAGCGTTTGATGAGCGGCTGGGACCATACGCGTCTGACTGTCTTGCCAGAGGAGTACCCATCAGATGGGAAGCAACCGGGAGTGCAAATGGCGAAGTATAAGCACTGGATGGGGCTGCCCTTTTCGGGAGCCGCAGCCGTCATGTGGCCAACACATGCTAATGTTTTCATTCCTCGTTTAGCACATCGTAAGCTAATGCAGTTTCGTTTATGTTGCTGGGCTTTGGAGGCGAACAGAGCACGAAGGGGCAAGTACCATGTTCCCAGGGGGCAGCGGTTTTGCCACTGTTGTGGTCCTAATAGCCGAATTGAGGATGAAAAACACGTGTTATTGGAATGCCCAGCCTATAATGATATTCGTGCTGAAGAGGGATTCGATCATCAACAGAGTATGTTGGAGGCCATGCAATGGGAACCCGCACGCCTGGCGAGGATGTTGGAACGTATGTGGGCTCACCGAAACTCAATTACCCCCTTTGGACGCTAGTCTGGGCTGATGTGCGGTGTCTTTTTCCTTTTCTCCGTGGCTTTTAGGCGTTGTAGTATTGCCCTTGGGCCTTAGGCTCGTATGGGTAGTCTTACAGGTATGGGGTCACGCACCCCCCAACCATGTAACACACACACACACATAAACGAAACTGCATTAGCTTACGATGTGCTAAGCGAGGAATGAAAACCTTAGCATGTGTTGGCCACATGACGGCTGCGGCTCCCGAAAAGGGCAGCCCCATCCAGTGCTTATACTTCGCCATTTGCACTCCCGGTTGCTTCCCATCTTGTTGTTGTTGTTGTTGTTACATGGTCGTGGGTGCGTTCCCCGTACCTGCAAACCACCCTAGTACGAGCCGAGGGCTCAAGGGCTGCCAAATCGCCTATAAGCACCATCCTACCTCGCACTTCCAACGAAACAAGTAATGAAGTATACTAACGACCAAAGGGAACGATAGAGTTGCGGTGAGACCATATACGTTCCAGCATTCTTGCCAGGCGTCCAGGTTCCCACTTCATAGCGTCCTTCATATGTTCGAAGCGTGGAAAGCCCATATCAGATCTGATTCCGTCGTAAACCGGACAGTCCAGCAAAATGTGTTTCTTATCCTCAGCAGCAGGGGCATACTCGCTCCTCCCTAGGTATATAACGCCGTCCCTTACGCGCTCTGTTAGCCGCCAGTGCCCAACAGCAAAGCCTAAACTGCATAAGCTTGCAATTCGCCGAACGTGGGATAAACATTGTGATGTGCGGGAGCACCTCCTTCCTGCCCGCTTGCTCGGCCGCCAGCCCCATCCAATGCTTATACTTCGCCATGTGAATTCCT